ACACCTCATACTGACGCACTTGAAGCCTAATGGTCAAAGCAAAGAGTAAGAATTCTGCCAGGACAGAGGAACCCTGGCTGTCCACTGGCTGTTCTTCAACCTGTTGCGTTAAAACTCAGCACTCAGAGATCTACTTACTGTCCTGAAGGGACTCCCTTCAATGGTAAATCCAAAACCCTATTCTGAAATGGTGAATTTCTAAACAATGAAATACTAAATTGTTATGCATGAATACGTGTTTACTGAGAGACAAAATAAACCACAGAGACAGATAAAAAGTCGTTTTCCCTTCTTATCAGCCACCAGACAGAGGGTGGAAAGTGTTGATTCCAGGTAGGGACCTCTGGTCAAGGGTAATCCTTGGTTATGGAACAGAGCTAAGGAGAGAGACCACGACTGGTGATCCTTCTCCTCTCCCGAGGAGGGGTGTGAGTTTGAACCTCAAGGATGAGAATCTAGTGATTGATTTAAAATATTACCCCCATCTTGCCCTAGCTGGTTTGGCTCGGTGGATAGAACCTCAGCCTGCCTGGGCCCTGGTTGGGGCTTGTGAAGGAGGCAACCAACTGATGTGTTTTTCTCACATTGATATTTCTTGCTATCTTTCCCTCTGTCTAAAAATCAATGGGAAAATAGCCTCAGATGAGTAATATATATATATATATAATCTATATATATATATATATATATATATATATATATATATCCCATCTCTGCAGTACTATTTCTCTCTTCTTATCACAAGATTTCAGTAACATTTTGTAGAAATTTCCTAGCATGCTGTGGGGATATAGGAAGTATGCTTATCTACATTTAATAAAGATTGAAATGAAGAGAGGGAAAAATCACCACAGAGTCAAGACACGGTATGAATAACAAGCAGGATAAATACTAAGAAATCCATACCTAAACACGTCGTGATAAAACTGCTGAAAAACCAAAAGCAGATAAGATCTTAACAGCAGCCAGAGAAAGATGCATTACTTTCAAAGGAGCAATGACAAGACGGACAGCAGACTTCTCATCAGAAACCACGGAAGTCAAAAGAGGACAGAATGTTATCTTCCAAGTACAAGGAGAGAACCCTTCCTAACCTAGAATTCATTTGCTCCCAAAACATTCAAGAATAAAGGGGAAACAAAGATGCTTTCAAACTAATAAAAACCAGGAGAATTCAGCAGCAGCAGACCTGCACGAAAGGAAATAGTGCAAGGGTATTTTCACATAGAAACGAATGGTCCCAGATGGAAGCCTGAAGATACACATCAATAGAAACAGAAACGGATATTCATACAATATAATATATATGAATATTCATGGATCATTCTTTCTAATGGCAAAAAATATTAATATTGAAATATTCATACATGGATATAAGATAAACATTTTCAAGGCACTGGATAGCAGTCAATGATCCTTAGCTGGCTTCCCCTACACACCTCTAGACCCCACCCACCCCACCCCCAGATTAAGTCACCCGTTTCAAGGAGCTTTGGCCCTGGGAGACTGAGCAGCAAGGAAGGACAGTAAGACCTTGGGCACAGCCCTGGCAACCCCCACTCCACCCTCCCACCTGCTTCTCTAGTCTATCAGCCATGCCCTCATCTGTCCCAGTCCTCCCATCCAAACTTCAGCCCAGTCCCCTCCTGATGCCCCTTCACATTCAGCTCCCCCCTGCTGTCTGTGTCTCCTGCTGCCTCGTATGCACAGGACCAAGCTTTACCAAGCCCTCTCCTAGTAATTTCATGCCAAAACAGATCACAAGGCTGGTGCTGCCTTCCCCAGGGGTCCTTCTGCGGGGAGAGGCCACTCAGCAGGGAGGCAAACCCGTGGGACATGGGGTCTCATTCAGGGAGAACTGGTGGACCTCAGTCCTGCTCAGAGAGCAGCTAAAGGGGATGGAGATCCCTGTGAAACATTTTCCATTTTCCCCGTGGAGTCTGTGTAGAATGTATCCTGAGTACACTGTGCAGAGTCTGCCTAAAGAGTGTATCTGCGAGGAAAAGAGAAGGCAGGCCTGTGTCTGGGTAAGAAGGCCTCTGTGTTGGAGTAGGAGAGGGGGTGAGCCCCACAGCACGCCTTACACACGCTTCTCCTCCTCTGGGGAGGTGAGGACAGGAGTTGGGCGCCACCTGGTGGCTAAGGGCTGCACTGTACGCCCCATCCTCTTCACCCCTTACCTCCCCGTCGGCCCCCTTCAAGACATGCACACTTGACCGACCCCAGATCCCTCTCTGGCGCCTTCATCCACTTGCTCACCGTTCCTGCGTCCCAGACAGTCCCGCAGAGACCCTGTCCTGAACCTCCTTCCCGGGCTTGCATGGGAGTCATGCAGGAGGATGCACACGCCAGCCTAACCTCTCTGAACCTCACGCTACGTGGCTACAGGATGCGGCGATAGTAGCCACCCCCCAGAAGCATGGTGAGTTTTTGTGTAAAATGAAACCGTTAAATTGGGAAGGCAGGGCATGGGGCCAAGCCTCATGTTCTCTGACCTGGTGAGGGCTGCCCACCGGCTCTGTGCAGAAGCACCGCACTTCCGTCTTCCTCCAGCAGTCTGTCCTGCCGTCCAGCCCGCAGTCCCTCGAGCCCGCGGTCGCGCCCGACGTCGGTCGCGCCCAACGCCAGGCCCCGCCTCCCACCTCCCGTCCGGACCCGCCTCCTGGCCGCCCCGCTCCCCTCCCCAGGGAGCTCCCTCTGGCCAGAGGCTCCACCCAACACCTGGCAGCTGGTGACTGAGGCCGCATAGACCCACCTTCTGGAGTATCTCCCAGGCCTACCTCTGCCCCCACCCCCAAGCAATTGATCACCACGTTCTGCCAATCCCATGTGTCTTGAATTCCTCTCCCTCTCGCCCAGCCCAGGGCACAGAGGACAGCCCTAGAATGATCCCTGCCCTGCCCAAGCTCTCTTGTACTGACAACCTTTCTCTGGCTCCCCACTGCCCACAAACTCCACAGCCTGCCATTCAAGGCCTTCCTTGATCTGGCCTTATATTTCCCTCCATCTCTGCATTCCCTGTGTGGCTCCCCTTCTCTGAGCCTTTGTATGAGCAATTTCTGCTGCCAGGAGTGCCCGCCCTCCCCCTTTTACCCCCGGGAAAATAACACCTGCTCATCTTCCAAACCTCGCTGTGGTTCTTCTCAGGGTGATGATCCTGCCTGGAGCCCGTGGTCACGTGTCCCCTAGGGTTGTCATGGCCTGAATCTGAGCTTGGATCTATTTTCCCCCACCAGGCTGCTAGACCCTCCAGGTCAGGGACAGGCACAGAGTTAGCTCTAGGCCTCAGTGCACGGTCCTGCCTGCATGCGTGCGGGAGGACATGCGTGGGAGCTGTGCACTGGATTTGGTGCCCAGGAGCGGTGTGTCACAGCACGGGCCTGAAATGGGATTACATGGCCAAAAGGCTGAGCACAGACATCAGATGCAGGGAGGCGATTAAGGCTCAGGATGTGCACCCAGTTTCTGCTTCCCCTTTGCCCAAAGGCCATGGAAGAGGGACATGCAGACACATTCGGGGCTGGAGGGTCACACACAGAGGAGTACCGATGCCGGTCCACACTGAAGCTGGCCTCAGAATAGCCGTCCCTGTCAGCCTTGGGCCAGGAACTGACTACTACCCGCCCTGGGCCCCACTGGGCAGACTGGGTTCTGTAAGAGGACAGAATCAGACAGGGGGAGCCCAGCGCAGAGGCTGGGCAGGGAGGGGCCTGGGGCCCAAGCCCCTCAGGGAAGGCTAGAGCCCTGGGGCCATTCAGCCCAGAGGAGCAGACTCCAAACCGTAACAAGCTGTGGGGCCAGAGAAGCAGGCAGGCTCTGTGGTAAAAAGAAATAGATTTATTCTCATGTACAAAGCGATCAGCCCACGGGACCATATACAACAGTTGCACAAAGTCCTAAAAAAAACACGTCTCTCTAAAGGCAACTCCAAATAGGTAAGGCAGGTGGCCCCCCTCCCCCCCTCCCACCCCACCACACATACAGAACAAAGGAGAAGGGAGAAGCTGCCCGGCTGACCCGAGAGGCCTGGCCCTACGGGGTCTCCCAAACCCTGGGGCATGGGTGGATATGGCCTTGAAGAGGAGAGACACCCTGCCAGGGCTGAGGCCAGGTCCCTCTCTGGCTGCAGGGATGGGGGAGGGACTCAGGCTAAGGAGGTACACTCAAGGGCCACCCCTATCTGCCCTAGGGTGTTAGGGGCATTCTATGGCCTCTCCTAGGACTCCAAAGAGCTATGGAATTTTTTATCTAAAAGGGGTCTCAGAGAACAGATTGTCTTCACCTCCTTTTTTCCACCCAGATAGGGGAAGGGACTTGCCCAGGGTCACACAACCAGGAGGAAGCACTGCTGACTCAACAGGGGCCGGTCTCCCAGCCCAGGGATCCTTCCTGCCCATTGTTCCCATCCTGCTTTCTTCCCGAGCCCTTCCTCCCCAGAGCACTGAGGGCCCCTCTGGCATCTTCCTCCTGGGATCTGCCTCCATCTCCCTGAGTTCCCCATCCTCACCGCAAGGACAGGGCAGCCCTCAGAGGCACCTGTGGCTACTTCTAGTCCTCCAGCAGAGCTAGTGAGTGATTCTAAGACCCACCCTCTGCTCCATCAAGATGTCCCACCTTCTTGCAAGAGGATCCTGGAGAGGGAAAAAGAGTACAAATCTGGTAGAGCAAGACTGGGGCCCAGGAGGAACCATTCAGGCTGCCTCAGGGGAGGAATGGCTTAGGGAGGACTTGCCACGGTGTGATCAGAGGTGCAGAGCCGGGCATCCCCACGCTCTCAGAGGACAAGTGACAAAGTCTTGGTGAGGCTGGAAGTCTTGCTTCCATTAAACAGACAAGAACACTGAGGCCCAGAAGGTCAATGCTTGCCCAGGTCGAAGGGGAAGTTCTGGCCTAGGACCCAGGACCCATGGCTCTGGTGCCAGGGCATCTGGCCCGGCCAGCGGAGGGTTTGTAGGAGGAGACCTGGGCGGGGAAGTGTCCTGGGAGCGGCTCACTCAGTGTCAAGGCTGCAACAAACCATTGACAGGGCCCCGAGGGCCATCCAGGTCAGACACCTCATACTCCTCGTCCAGGAAGTCCAGCGAGTTGTCGCTCGGGAGGCCTCGGATGGTGAATTTGTGTGACACCTTGGTCCAGTGCTCCCGGTTAGAGGCCACGCGTTCGTAGAGCTCTGCTGCTTTGGGGAACAGGTCCTGCAGCAGCCTGGGGGTGCACAGGGGCAGGGTTAAAGGCTCAGCCAGTGACGGGAGGGAAAGATTAGGGCTATACCACAGGTAGAATTTCCATAAGAGTGTGACGCATGATGGTCTCTTCCCACAGGGGATAAAGGATGAAGAGAAGGACCCATTTAGGGGTAAAACAGGAGACTGTGGTGCCTGGAGGCAGCGGGTGGGTCAGTGAATCTGGGCCAAGCCCAGCTCAGTACCTGTGTCTGCTGTGGTGGCCATAAACAGCCACGCCCCACCCCATCCTCTCTATGCAGAGTTCCCAGGGGTCCCCAGGAGCTCCCTCACTTGTAGATGGGCATTGCAATGTGCTCCATGAAGCTGATCTGCAGCTCGGGGATGTAGGCCTTCTCACGGTCCATCATCTCCATTGGCCTGTTGCCCATGGCCTTCTCCTGCAGGCAAACAAGTTATCAGGCCAGGATGGGGCTAACCCAGACCCCCACAACTCCAGGCCAGGAACCCACCCACAACATGGACACCCTGAGGTCATTCCCCACATACCAAGTCTCCCTGGGAGAAGAACTCTTTGTAGATCAGCTCCTGAAAGGCCAAAACTCTCGTTACATCCTGTGAGTGGGATCTATCCACCCAAGCTCCTCTACAGCCCATTCCAAAGGAGGCAAACTGAGGCCTCCCTCAGCTCCACCTCAGGGCCTGTCCTTACCATCCCCAGCGAGTCAGGTGGATGGCCCCAGGTGGGGAGGAATGGCTGGGTTCTGAACCACCTACCACCAGCCACTGACTTGCTGTGTGGCCTTGGCCAAGTCCATGCCCCTCTCTGAATCTCTCCATCTGTCACCCTAAGGTGGTTTAAGTGTTTTTCATTTCCCCAAAATAAGGCCAGGCTAAGCTCAGCACAGAAAGGGTGTTCAGGTGCAGGAGCCACCCTGAGCCAGGGAGGGGTGACCCTTACTGCAATCTTCCTTGTGGTCTTCCAGCCCTTGGTCTGGTCAGAGAGGTCACAGGAGGTCATAAGGAGGCAGAGGAGGAGGCTGTGGTGCTGCTTATTGTTTCGATCATAGCCCACTGTTGGGAAGAGAATGGGGTCAGCCTCCTGGTGCTCCCTCAGGCCCCACCCCAAGTGGTCCAGGGAATGTGGCATCCTGGATGGGAGCCAGGAGGCTGGGGCTGGGTCTGCCTGGTGGTGGATACTGGAAGGGATGGGTCTAAACTCTTGGGGATGCTCTCCAGGCAAATCCCCCTCAGCAGTTCCTCCCCAGCCCCAAGGGCCAGGCCTAAAGGCAGGCAGGCACCTTCGGCCATCTTCTGGAGGTCCTTGAAGATGCGCAGGTGGTGGGCCAGGTCCGTGGCCAGGATGATGTCCCGCATCAGGTCCAGCATGCGCTGATAGTCCTGGGTGCCAGGAGGGAAGTGTCACGGCCTCCTGCCAGACACCCCCACCCAGTTCCTGGCCTTGAGGAGCCTCCACCCATCGTCCCCTTCTCCTGTTTTGAGCCAACTCCTGGCTCCCACCCCCTCACCCCCATCCGGGCCCCGTCACCTTTCGGGAGAAATGGTCGAAGATGTTGCAGCCGTGGGTGTTGAGGATGGCGATGGCCTGAGCGAAGTGGTGCCTCTGGAGGGGAGAGGAGTGATGGGGCTTGGATGGAGCAGGGGGGTCCCTCACCACTGACCCCCAAAGAGGGAGTGGGCCCGGCCCAGCCCTGGCCCCCAGGTGAGCAGAGCAGGCAGAAACAGGGAGTCAGGCCCTAGTTCCCTTTCTGGGCACTGTTTTCACCCTTGGTGTGACCAGGGCAAGGCCCTCTCGGACTCCGAGGCCCAGATTCCCCAGCTGTCTCATGAAGGGACACAACGCAGAACGCTGAGGGCCTCTCAAGCTGGAACCGCTCTGAAACGATCCCTTGGAGCCCTAGACACCAATCCACACAGCTGACATGTGTCTGCTGACAAGCAAAGGCAGGGATGAGGCCAGGGCAAGGCCTCTGCCTCCAGACATGGAAGGGCTGTCAGTCAGAGGAGGAGGAAGAGGCTCAGCCAGGGCACGGAGGGCAGAGGCTGGGAGTGAGCCCCTCATCTCTGGGGGTGTGCAAGCAGGCGCAGTCTCTGGAGGGTGTAGTGGGGGGCTGCATGGGGCAAGGTAACCTTGGGAGTTGGGCTCCCATTCTGTGCCATGTGCAGAGCACTCAGAGATGTCTCAGATCTTGTTTCTACCCCAAGGAGCCCCCATCTGGGTGGCGGGGAGGGGTGTAGGCCAAAACCAAATAATCTAAGGGAAAACTGAGTGAGATGAGAACCCCTCCCGGGCTTGGTGGGGAGGGTTTGTACGGGTGTTCCCAGGCACGCAGAGAGAATCGTGCTAAATACAAATCCTCTTTCTGGAAACCTGGGCTCCAGCAGAACCTTCAGTCTGACTCGCACACCCATGCCCACCTGCACCCCGCCAAGCCCATCCAGGAAAGTGAGCCAGGCACGCCTGGGGGGAGGCGGCAGCTCTCACCACCTGCCTGAAAAGCAGGGCGTGGGAACAGGAGGAGCTGGGTCACAGTGTAACTTTGCACATCACCACCTTCGGAGGAGGAGGAGGAGAGGGAATGAGGTGAGGGCATGGGAGGTAGGGGCTGGGGGAAATGGTGGTACCTCCATGACAGAGCCCTCGGAGCTGTAGAGTGCAGCCAGCACTGATTTCTGGAAAAGCCGGGAAAACTCCATCACTCTTCACATCCAGATCCAAGTGCCGCCCGCACCCTCCCCGTCTCAGAACCCAGCACAAAGCCTAGGAGAGCTTCAGGCTCCTGGTCCCACCAGCTCCCACCTCTCCTCAGGCTGGGAAATAACTCTCCCAGGCCATCCCTCCATCGTGAGGAGGGCGGGATCTCACCGAGGCCACCTGGAAGGAGTTGTTTGTGCCTCTGTGGTCCAGGTCGTGACACATGCAGGAAACAAACAAGGCAAAGATCTCGATGTCCCTGGTTGGGAGACAAAGAGGAGAGAGGTCCAGACACAGCTTCCTCCCCGGAAACTCAGAGGAGGGACAGCTCGCTGAGATGTGCAGGAGCCACCAGGACGAGAGCTCAGGATACCCGGGTCCCCTCCTGGAAAGAAGCCCTGGTTTGGAGCTTGTCAAGCCCATCCTCCCCTGGGATTGTGACTGCGAACAAGTCTGGCCAGGAAAACGGGGCTATGAACCCCTCAACGGACTGTTAAGAGGGTCCCCTCAGACGGTGCATGTAAAGTGCTTGACACATAGAAGGTGTTTCCCTGCCCGGAGGAAGGGAATCCCAGCGGCTCACAGACAGGGGAAGGGCAGCCACTCACTCGAGGTAGTTGGTGAGCTCCAGGTTCTTGTAGAGCAGGTAGCAGAAGTGAGAGACAGAGAAGGCGTGCATCCAGTTGTGGTAGGGTGGGTCCCGGTAGCCCTTCTTCACCATCAGACAGAACCTGGGGGAGGGGAGAGGGCAGCAGAGGGGCCTCAGGCTCTCCTCCAGGCAGCCCTTCAGGCTCTGCCCTTCCCCGTTCCTTTCCTCTCCTCTCGGTCCCAATGTCTAGGAATTGCCTCTCGCTCATGGAGCCTGCCCCCTCCCACACGACTGAGTCTCCCCTAGTTGTTCCAGAGAGACCCCTTCCCAGGAGGCTGGGGGCAGTGGGTGTGAGAGTTGAGGACAGAGGAAGGTAGGGATGGGGCTGCCTGCAGGCGGGGGGCAGGGCTGGGGCACACACCGGGCCAGTGTCGGGCAGTCAATTTTATAGTTGCTGATGAAATTCATGTCCTGTAGCATGCTGAGGATGGCCTGCAGAGGGCAGAAGGGAGGGCACAGAGGGATTGTCAGTTTCAAGACGGGGCTCCTGCGTTGGCCCTTCTTGAAGCCCACACAATGGTGTTGGAGTCTTAGATGTTTAGAACCATGAACTAGCAGCACCAAGCTTTCTCAGAGCCAAAAACAAAAATATGGTATCTAAGAACTCTTGGAACCCTGCTCTCCTAAAGTCTTAGAAACACAGGAAGTGAGATGCCAACCCTGAGAATAATCTCTGCCAATCACCCAGCCAGCCCCTGGCCTCTGGGCAGGCCCTGGGGCCCACACTGGCAGACCACATGCCCATTCCCTCTCTAAGGGAGACTGTAGGCTTCCTTGATGACTCTGTCTTGCCAGGAAGTCCCTGTGTCCATTAAACGTAAACCTCTGCCTGTACACCCTCTGCCTCACTGGGGGAGGGGGAGGCTCACCATGGAAGTGTCATCCTCAGGAAGAGAGCGAGGGGTGTAGGTGAAACGGGCAAAGTTAGAGTCGATGGAAGCCACAGGCTGGATGCCGCCATGCAGCAGTTTGGTGTATTCGTCATCAGAGACCTACAGGGGACCAGCCAGGATATTAGACCCCCTCACCCAGAGTGTCCCCAGTCGAGCCATCCAGTCCATGGGTTGGTATTGCACAGGAGATCACCACCTCCCCTCACAGCCCTGCAGCCCACCTACGGAGCCTCCTTGTCTGTGACTGCCTTTACCTGGAACAACCTATCCTCAGCAAAGACAAAGGACACCCTTCCGTGACACCCCCAAACCATGGCAGCCTTCCACAGATGCTAACTTTAAGATTCCTTATTTGGGAGGGGGACCACCTCAGTCCTTCCTACTATAGTTTTGACTCTGTCTACAAAGCCTGGGACCCTCTGGTCTGGACACAAGGGAGAGGAAATGTTTACATCAACAGTGGCCACCCCGTGCTGAGAACTAAAGCCTGAGAGAGCTTTGCTGACACAGGGTCCGGGAATGGGATGGACTATTACAACCAGGACTTCAGGACTCCTGTACCTAGGGGAGTTGTGGCAAGGGCCCTGAGTGAGCCTCTCAGTCATTCCCAAGGTGGGGATTATCCCTGGACATGGGGAGCACCTGGCTGAACCAGGTTCTTCCCCAGGTTGGGTGGAGCTGGGGTCCAGGCATTGCCCTGGGTCTATCTTCTTATCTTCATGAGACAGGGATCAGAAAGCCCAGCCTGGCCCAGGCCCCATGAGGGTTTGGGGAGGCAGGGGACCTTGAGACCCCGAGAAGGAGGACAGAAGCTCCATGCAAGCTCACCTTCATGTGGTACATCATCATCTCATTGGCGAGGTGGCTGCGGTACTGGGCCTCGTTCACCTTTTTGTAAAGGAGGGACTAGGGGGAGAAAGGGGAAGAATGCAGCTCAAGCAATGTGGCTGTGAACTCTCAGAATACCCAAGCCTGGGAAGGGGTCAGATAGAACCTCCTGGGTTGGCCCAGGTGTGAGCCTCGGAGCTCCAGCCCAGACTATGAAGCCCCATCCAGCCTTCATCTGGACTGGCCCTTGCTTCGCCTCCCAGGATCTCTTAGCATTTGAGCTGGCACTTTGCACCCCCTCCTGAGCCTGCCCTAGTCTTCGGCGATGGAGCCCGAGGCCCACAGCGGAGAAAGACAAACAAGGAGGGGGGTTAGTGTGAGGGACCAGTGGGTTGGAGCCCCACGGCAGAGCTGCCAGCTGTGGACAATGAGACCCAATATTTCCCCAAAAAGAAGTTGCCCAGAAGTTGGGGCTTGGGTTGAGGTTGCTTCCAGAGGAGGGTGGGGGTGAGATGGGTGAATAATGACAACTGGGGTTTCCCACGGTCTGGGAGGCTAACGGGATAGGACAGGAAGTAATAAATGTTCAGATGGGAAACAGGTCAGAGGTGACCAGCGGTACAGAAGGTTGCATAGCAACCCGGCAGTGGGGCTCTGAGTCCTAATGTGGAGAGGACAGGGCGTCCACTCACGTGGGCGATGCTGATGCCGCAGTAGATGGAGAAGGCCGTGGCCAGGTCCTCGTCGAACTTGCTGAACCAGGGTCCGTTGATCTTGTTCACCAGCTCGGCCACACCGATAACCTCTGGGGGCAGGAGAGGGGCTAGGACCGGCCAGGGGATGTGTCCGGCAGGGATCTGCCTTCCCAGGCTGTCCTCAAGGGAATCCATGCCTGGGAAACCTGCGCCTTGTGCTAGGGGAATTCTAAAGCAGCAGGGGGGCGGGGAGGAGGGCGGGTGCCAGCCCCTCCATTCGGCTCCGCCCCATCCTGCTCAGTCCCCACCCCAGACTGGCCCCACACCGGCCCCGCCCTCTGTGGGAGCCCGCACCCTTGTTCTCGTTCTTGATGGGGAAGCAGAGGATGTTGCGCGTGCGGAAGCCCGTGCTGTCATCCACGCCGCGGTAGAACAGAGGGTGTGCGTATGCGTCCGGGATGTTCAGGATCTGGCCCGTGGTAGCCACGTGGCCCGCTATGCCCTGGTCAGCCGGGATGCGTATCTCATAGCTCTGCAGGGGCAGGCATGGGAGAGAGGAAAAAGTTATGGATGTCCCCAGAGCGGGCCATGACCCCTTCTGCCGAGACTCTGCCCCCACCCCCAGGACCACAGCAACACTCTCCGTGGGGGGCCCTGCCTCACCTCATCTTCCACCACGCCCCCGTCGAACACCTTGGCCACCAGCTCATTTTTTTCCAGCAGGAACACGGAGCAGCTGCGGGGAGACGGCCTTGGTCCACCGAGCCCTGGCAGCCCGCTCCAACCACCCCTGCTTCTCACAACTGGAGGCGAAGCTCAGGGCTGGCTGACTCCTGACATTAGTTCAACCCAATGCATTTTTTATTTTATTTTTTTTGAGCGCCTCCTCTGTGCCACGCATTGCCATTAGGAGCTGAGGAGCCATGGTCCGCAAAGCGAGCCCCACCTCTGCTGCCATTGGACGTTACAGTCTAGGGATGGTCACAGGCATGAAGCAAAGGATCATACAAAATGTGCTGGGGTCCCACAAGAGGGCAGTGGAGGGGGAAAGGGAGGAAAGGAAAGGGTGAGGAATGAAGCCCGGCGCCTCTCTCCCCCTCCCAGGGGTAAATTCACTCACATCTCAGCATTGCTGAGGTTTCTGGCCTCTGTGATGATCTCCTGGAGCAGGACGGAGACGTCATCTGAGAGAGGGAGAAGTGGGGGGCGGGGGGGGGGGGAAGAGGAGGGCAGGGGTCAGACTGGGCTGGAATGCCAAGGCCACACCCTCTCATCTCTCCTCCCCCAAACTCCAGCCCCGACTCCCACCCCACAATCAGGCACGGAGGAGGACAGCGCACTCACCCAGGTGGGTGAAGAGGTTCTTTGCCACTTGAAGAAGAGCCTGGGACGGAGAAAATAGAGATCACCGGGGTTCCGGTGACAGAAAGGGACCCTCTCCAACCTGATGCCTCCAACATCCCCAGGGGCTTTTCATTCCTCTCCTAGGGCTCTCCACACATGCCGGAGACACAGAGTCTACTCGCAGTTATGTCATTTGGATACTAAGTAGAGGAGAGGGAGGAACTGCCTCAGTGAAAGTGTGTAGAAATCTACAGTCTCAGATGTGCATTCACCTCAGCTTCCAGCCACCCAGCATTGCTGTAGTACCCGAGTTGAACACTAGAGGGTGATCGCATACAGTGCCTGCAGCCAGTGGCCATTCTGAGGAATCTGTCACCTTCAGAGCACCAGGTAAACCCCCTGCCATGGTCCAGATAGAGATGGGCTTTTCCCCTGTGGATACGTCACTGGGGCTGGGAGCTGGGCGGCTTTGTTCCTGAGAGAGGCGCAAGGCAGGCCGCTCACCTGGCACTCACACTTGAGCTTCTGCTCCTTCTGGAATGCCAGGGTGCTTGTGAGCACCGTGCTGGTGTAGTGAAAGCAATGCTGGACCGCGTGCTTGTCCTGATCTGTGAATCTGGGGAGGGAGGCAAGGTCATCAGAGAGGGAGCTGATGACAGACTTCTCCCCCCGTTTCTCCTCATTTGCATTCCTCCAGGAAGCCCACTCAGAGATCACCAGCTACGCATCACTCTCCTCCACAGGGGCGGCTCGCTGCACAGGTGGCTTGGGGCAGCTTCTCCCTCAGACCAGAAGCCCCCTGGGGGCGGCTCTAATTCTCCTCCGAACGAAATGTGTTTTCCTCCTCTCGCTATTGCTTCTTGAAGCCCGGCCACGTCTCCCTCTGCTGACTTCAGATTTACCCAAACCGAGGCTGGGTCAGAGCTGGGTGTTCCCCTGCTCCTCCCCGGAGGCCCCTCCAGGCTCAGGGTGGGGGGTGGGGTGGCATTGCCCTGTTCTATCCAACTCTAATCACTGCCCTACTCTTCCAGGACTTTGGGTGCTTCTCAGCTTCAGCTAAAATCCTTATCCTTCTGAGAACACCTCCAGTTCCTTCACACCTTCATGCTTTTCCCTACACTGTTCCCTCTGCCTAGAATCCCTATCCCACCATCCTCCTCTTGGGCCCTGAAATAAACTTTCAGTTTTGAAGGCAGGGACCATGACTACATCACCCCATGTCCAAGGCAGAGCCTGGCCCAGGGAAGATGTTTGGGAAGTGTCTCCTAAAAGTCTTAACTGTGATCTGCCTCTGCCCTGGCCACCAGCCCCACCACACCCCCTGCTGAAGGAATTCTGGGACCCCTGTTCTCTGCATTGCAGGCAGCTTCCCTATAGCCAGGCTTTGAGCTGAACCCCATCTTGGCTCATGCAATCACTTAGCAATCACTCCCTGAAATATGTGGGACCCAGAGATGATCCTGTCCCTGCCCTGGGCCTCAGGGCTGTCACCAAGGCCCCATCTCATTTACCATCTGAAACCACCCCTGCTCTAGGTACAGGGCCATCTCAGAACCCAGTCCCACAACCAGCAGCCGGAGGCCGCAGCCCCTGCTGGACTCCCTCTCACTCTGCACTCCTCTCCCTAAAGGCCTTCCCAAGGTCATCTGGTCAGCACTCAGCTGGACACAGTAGGTGCTCAGCATGTGCTTATCAATGGCATACATTCTCCCACAACTAGGATGCCCACCTGTAGCACATGACACAGATCCCAGGTCCTCCTGCTGTCTCCCTGCCTCCCCCCGCCCCGCCTAGCGTTCCATGTTAGAAGTCCTGCTACACAGACCCATGACTCTCAGGTCTCTGCCCATTCCTGCAGACCCCATCCCTGGCCTCTGACATCTCTCCCCTGTCTCCACTTCCTGCAGGAGCCCCAACCTGTTTGCTTAAGCCCCGGGGGCCAAGCATCTTGTCAGCATCTCTCTGGAATCAGGACTCTGTCTTATGCCTTAGCCCAAACTATAGACCTGCTGGACCACGTGTGGCAGCTTTCATATCCTGAACCTACTCCCAGGACAGACATAGCTAATCAATCATAGGACTAAGAACCAGTTGGTATAGGACATGAAATCTATTTATGGTACCATTCTTAGATCCCAAATCTAATCTCAGTTCCTGAGATAGCCCTCCTAACTAAACCTGTTTACCCATCTCTGTGTCCTGCCTACCATTCCATTTTGTATGATTCTTATAGCTGCTCCGTCAGTGCCTATAAAGACCCTCCGTTTAGCCTGGCCCCGAGCCTGTATTTCCTTTAGCCGTTGTCCACTGTGTCAGTGATGCTCTGTGCAATCCAAAGAGTCCATCATCCCAGAGCTCAGGGAATTCCCAGCAGAAATGCCAACCAGGGGATGGCAAATGGGGAAAGGGGCCAATACCCTACTAGTGGATAATCCCAACTGCAAGAAGTGGGAAAAAAAAAAAGTGGGAGCTCACTGGGACCTCAACATGCTTTTCAATAAGCTAAAACGGGTAATGGAGAGCCAACAATTACCTGTGCCTCAGCCGTAGCAGAAGCAAGAGCCTAGCACTCTCATACACCTGTGGTCTCTTACACCGGCAAACCATTCAGTCCACACTGCTGGAATAGTACCCTCTTCCAGCTCTGTTGCCCTGTCCGGGCTCTCAGCTCACCTCCTGATCCACATCACCCCACCCTGACTCACAAGTCTCCTCCGAGCTTGTTGAAGGCACAGGCCAGGGCCACCACCTGGTCCGTGGCCCGACTGATGACAGGCACACAGAGCATGGTCTTTAGTTCACAGCCCAACATGCTTTGTAGCTGTTGCACATCCTCCTGAAAAGGTGAGGTGAGTTAGGGCAGGGGGGGAGGGAGAGAGTATGTTTCCTCCCCCCGCCCACCACCATCTGCCGCAGGAGGTGCTCAGGGGCTCCTGCAGGTGGGGAATGCTGTGGTGTGGGGTGGACTGGGAGGAGGTCCCTGGGTCTTGTCTTAAGTCCCAGCATCCCTAGGCTGCCCTGGGGGCTGGACATGGTCCTCTCCCTTTGCCTCCTCCCCTGGTCCAGTCAGGCCATGGCTTACTGAGGTGAGATCTCCCAGCTGGATAGACTCCTTGTCTTCCACCACCTGGCCCAGGCGTCCCATTGTCAACTGTGGAGGGAGGAGAGGCTGAGTCAGGGCCCACCCTAACCCTCAAACCCTAACCCTCCCCCCAAAGTCTGGAAGACTCAGGGACCTTTTCAGTCAGTCTAAATGGGGAATGGAGTCCATACTGAGAAGGTGTGTGTGTGTGTGTGTGTGTGTGTGTGTGTGTTCTGCTCCTGACCAGAATGCCGTGTGGAAGATTTAGGGTCTCCCCTAATAGGAGAGAGAAAAAGCAGCCTCCAAGATTCTCATTGATCTCCATAGATCCTAAGAGAATCAAATCCAGAAACACCCCAGCGGAGGTAAACTGGTCCCACGTGGACTGTTCTGTAGGTTGCATGAGATTTCTCTGATGGGTCCTGATCAGGAAAGGTTGTGAGCTCTCATAACACTTCTAAGCAGACCCCGAGATCCAGATAATTCCATCAGATTCCAAGAGATTCTGGCAGATCCCAGTCTCTCGGTGCAAATTCCAAGGGTGCCTCGTTTGCCTCAACTACTCCCGCAGACTCACCGGGAAGCTGGTCTCTTCCTCCAGCACTCTGTCTCCGATGACCTGAGGGGCAGAGGGGCAGGGACCCATTAAAAGATAAGCTGGGTTTTTCTCCTGAGACCCGGTCCCTCTCTGGGTCCCACCGTGGCCTTGGCTCTCACCTTGCAGGAGAGCTGGAGATTGTCCTCGGACACCAGCAGGAGGCAGCAGTGGGACGCCTGGGTCTCCTGCTGCAGCTGAAAGGCAAGAACACAGCGAGGGGCTGGCGGCGGGTCTGGGCCACCCACTCCCCACCCTCTCGCCCCTGAGGCCCCTCTGGCAGGTGGGAAAGAGGCGAGGGGCGGGACGTCGAAATCCCAATTGAGAGGGAAGGCTCAAGACACATCGGTCCCTGGAGGAGCAGGGGACGGGCGTAGGCACTCACGTATTGGAGGACTTTGAGCTGCAGGGAACAGGCATCCAGGTCGTAGAGTTCCCCTGCAACGGCGGGCGCGGGTCAGAGGGCTCTTAGACCTCCCCCCCGACACACACACACACACACACTTCCCACCACCTGGCAGTCCAGCCAGTGCATCTCCCTTCCGACAGCTACCCGGCCCCGCCCCCACTAAGGCCCCGCCCCCATAGGCCCCGCCCCTCCAGGTAGGACCGGGCCCGCATCAGGACCTGCCCTTCCGGTCCTCACCGCACAGCTGCAGGATCTTCCCGTCGTTGTGGGTGTCCGCAACCCGGCCCTGCGGGTCTCCCGCCGTCCCCGCCGGGGGGTGCAGAGCTTCGGGGGCCACGCCGGGCCCGCGCTGCTGCAGGGCCTGCACCCTTCGCAGGGCCACCAGCGCCTGGGGCAGGCCGAGCGGTCAGCGGGCCACTGGCCCCACCTTTACCACGCTCGCCGCCTCTGACTCCCCGCCGTGGCTCTAGCCATTGCCTATGCCTGCGGCGCCCATCGCCCACCACCGCCCCCACCACCGCCCCCGCCACCGCCCCACCTCCATCCCAACAGCTCATTCCACAGCGCTCCCCCGCCGCTGGGGTCCCACCGCCCTGAGCATCCTCCCTCCAGGCTCCACCCCTGGCCGCAGGCTCCTCCAAGACAGGACCAGGGCGGGCAGCATCTCTGCGTCTCTGGCACCCACAGGGATTCTAAGTCCTTGTTAAAGTCCGCGTAAAACCTCAGGAAGAGCCTCATTATGTAGGTAGTCCTTCATAAGTACGGACAAGATATTTGTTCGCCTTATCTCACCAGCACTCTCGGAGCTCAGTGCTCTCCTGATCCTCTCCTTTCAGATGTGCCACTGATGCTCAGAGAAGTTAAAGTGACTCGCTCAAGGTCACACAGCCCCAAGGGGGTGAACTGGAACCCAGGTCTGTCCAGCTCCCTGGCAAAATCATCTTGCCCACTGCGATGAGGGTCTTCAGCAGCCCCCCCCAGCCCTCCCAGCCCTCCCCCCACTCACATGTTTCTCCACGGCTTGAAGGCTCCGCTCTTCACTGTCACTCAGCTGGCCACAGTGCACCTGGAGGGGTGTGGGAGAGAACTAGCTGTGGCCATCCCTAGCTCCTACTTCTGCCAGAGGGCCCTCCCCATGCCCGGCACACACCTGTCCCCACCGACATAAACCCTCCAAGCCTGTGGGCTTCAGCGAGAACCCTGACCTCCTGACCGAGCACGGGGCTCCAGGTCCATCCCCGCCTCCGGGAAACATAGGGCTAATTCACATAAAGGCGGAAGCGCTGCCTTTTCAGTCACTGCCCCCCCAACTGCACCATCCAGGCGGATGGTGAGGAAAGGGGTGACCTGGGACCCCTCTCCCTCTACCGGCCTACGGAGCCCTTCAGGACCCAATGACGGAGTCAGTGCTATTAGACAAAGCCTCCCACCTCCATCCCTTCTGAGCTGGGATTTGAGCTGCCCCGAAGTCTGGGTAGGAGAAGAAGTCTGACATCTATGATGCATCTGCTGTGCCTGAAGAGCTTGGGAGGATGGGCGAATGAATGAACGGATGGAGTGATAAAGTGCTTTGATCGAAATGTTGAGTCTCACCATCCCGTAAGGCAGGCTTCCACGTGCAGATGAACCAAGACCCCAAAAAGGTTAAGTGACGTGCCCAAGGCCACGCAGAAGGAAGTAGCAGGACTGAGACCGCACCGACCACTCTCCAGCACCTTCCATCCTCCAGACCCACTCTCATCACCACACACATTAGCCTGTCCCTCCCAACTTCCCTGTGTCAGTTACCAGAAGTCCCCTCAGCCCATCTTGATGCCCCATGGAACCCCTTCTTACACCCTTGCTGGAGAGCTTGACACAGAAAATGAGAGGGATGGAGGGAGGGGTGGCAGTGTGGGGACCCACTGCAGGCCCTGCTAGCAAAGATTTCCAACGGCGTCACCGGCTTCTGGTGGCGCCTGCTCAGAGCTGCTCATCGCCTGCAGGGCACCCCGTGGTGGCTGCCCTGGGGTTCCCTCCTACATCCTCCCTTCTCACGCAGCAGCTGCCTGCCTGCCTGTGCTCTCGGTCCCCTGCCAGGAGCAGATGGAGAGGAGACCAGCAGGCTCCCAGGAAGCTCACATCTGGCTGGGGCAGGATGGAGTGGGGGATGCGATCAGAAGGTGCAGAACCTCATACCTGAGGAAGAAGGAGAAGGCAGATGGGCTGGATGGGAACTTAGAGACCGTGGGAGCTCGGGGGGGGGGGGGGGGGGAGGGGAGAGCAACCAGGAGGCTTCCAGAGCTGGCACTGAGGCATGGGGCGGACAAGCAGAGCCTGAAGAGAGGGGACACTGCAGGCAGGAGCGGTCCTGGCAGTGCTGGGTAGAAGGTGAGGAGATGAGGATCCGGAGTGGAGTGGGGTCCGTTTGCCCCAGGGGGAGGGCCTTGAGTGCCAGGCTCAGGAATTGGAATTTAGCTTGAGGGCCATGGCCTGTGGGGTGCAGGGTGAGTTGAAGGAAGCAACACTGGAGGCAGGAAGGCCTGGACAGGATCTGGTGGGACTGAAGGCCCCATGGATGACTCCCATGGGAGAGGGAGTTGGGAGAGGCTGGAGCATGGCTCATTGGCATGTGACTCATACAAACATTCCGGCATTTCACTGCTAGTAGATGGGGAGGACATCTACTTGTTTCTTCCTCCTGGACCCATCTCTCAGGAAAAGGGAAGGGGAGGGTGGGGGGAGAAAGAGGGCCTTGGGCTATGAGCTGCCAAAACAGCTTGGTCCCAGCACAGAGCTGGGAGGCTGAATGAGAGCCTCCGAAGGCCAGGGGAACGGAAGGAATGGTGGAGTCCTCCACCCCCTGGACCTCCCCCCACCCCAGCACACACTCCTGGCTGCCGCACTCCTTCCCCACCCACATGTGTACACAGGGATACTGACTTTGAACACCCAAGAGACATGCACACACTTCTGCCCCGCCCCCATATGCAAACTCACTGCCACCCACACGCACACATGGCTTTTCGCTCACCAACAGAAACACACGCCTGCAGGGAGGTGGCCTGGGGCCCAGTGGCAGGCCCTGGGGCTGTAGAAGGGGTTGAGAACCCAGCAAAGCGCCCACACCACTCATCCTCACCAAGTTCAACACGGCTAATCCCCATGTAAGTGGCTGGCACAGCGAGGGGGAAGCGTGGGCACACATCACACATCAAATGCCAGAGACCGAGTGCCTCCCACTCCTCCAAGGGACTTATTATCCCAGAACAGAGCCGAAGACTCCTTCCACACAAAGAACCTGTAACCAAGGTGCCTGCGGCTGCGAGCTGCAGAGGCCCAGAACTCTCCCAGGCTGCCCTGCGCCAGGACGGCATGTCTCTCAGGGAGCCTTCCATTGTCCACACTTCCATCAGGCCCCAATGTTCCTGGCAGAGCTCCCTGGTTCCCTTGCTTGCAGTTTCCATCATTTGCAATGCTGTCCTTATTTTGGCCCCTGATTTGCCTGTCTCCTGGACCCCTCCAGACTATGGTCTGTGGAAGCAGGGCCTGTCTGGTCACGGTCATTGCTGTTTGCAGTTGCTAGCACACAGGACCTGGCAGCGCTTGAGAAATATGCCTTCCACTGATGGCTGGGTGGGTGGGTGAATACCAAGAGCAGAGACTCAGAGAGGGGAATGGGGCTTGCTGAGGAAGGAGCTGGTGAGCCAGTCTTCCCCAAACATCTGCCCGGGGGCAGCCCCTGTGCTCTCTGCACCCTCTGCTCTTGGGATCTGGTAGCAGCCGGGAGGTGCAAGGTTGCTTGGCTGCCTCTTGGAGGACATGGGGTCCTGAGGCCCAGGAGCTCTGGGGAGGAGGGAAGGGGCAGCAGGACAGGATCCATCAGCTGTATGTACCCTGGGGAGAGGGTGTCCTGGAGGTGTGCTTTCCTATTTGAGCAGGAAGGCACAGGCTTGGAGAAGAGGCAGACCATGAATAATCCAAACACCTTTCTAGAGCTTTTCACCGCCAGGTGTGTTCAAGAAGGCGAGGGGATCGTTGTTGGGAAGGAACTCCTGGTAGCCAAAGTCCCAGGAAGCATCTTGCTCAACAGCAGGCACGTCTGCCTCACCAGGATCACACTCTTCCTCCAACACCCCATCCCCTCTCCCCACTTCGCCTTGCTCACGCTCTCCCCTCTGTCTAGGATATCCTTTCCTTTCTCTGCCTGCAGACATCCGCCCCAGGCCCAACGCCCTTTCAAACACCGTCTCCACTGGGAGGCAGGCACTCCTTGCGCTCCAGCCTCTGCCACCCAAGTATCTGTATTTATCTCCTTTGGCCAACGGTGGCCTGAGAGTGTCCCTGCCTTCCTCCAGGCGCTCACACTCTGGAAAAGAGATGGGTCTCACTCCTCTATCTGCCTAGCCTGCAGCCTGCAGCAGGGGCCAGAGAAGGGAGTTGCTAGAGAGAGTTAAATTCAAGTGCTCTGTCTGACTCCAACCCCCCCCCCCAATACACACACACACACACACACACACACACACACACACACATACACACACAGGCCTTTCTCCCCCAGGAGAAGACTGAAGCCTGACTTTTTTTTAATTTTATTTTTATTGATTTTTTACAGAGAGGAAGGGAGAGAGATAGAGAGAAGCATCGATGAGAGAGAGTCATCGATCAGCTGCCTCTTGCACCCCCCCCCTCCCCACTGGGGATATCCCCGCAACCAAGGTACATGCCCTTGACCAGAATCGAACCCGGGACCCTTCAGTCCACAGGCTGACGTGGAGCCTGACTCTTGGTCCAACCTGAGCCAAGGTGAGCAGCAGTCATGGCGACTATCCTCTTGCCCACAAGATGAACCACCTCCCAGATGCTTTCCTCTTGGGGCGGCTGCTCCTCTCTGACCCAGCCCCCCCAGTCCCAACACAGGCAGACCTTCCTAGGAACCTGACACCCCACACTCTTCCTCAACAAAGACGGGCTACCCGAGCCACTGCCCCCACTTCCTCTGCACATGGTCCCCAGCCCTGTGCTCTTCGCAGAGACCAGCTCTGCACAGATTGGGACTGAGGCGGGAGGGAAGCGGTGCTCAGAACGCTGCCAACAGCAGATCCATTCCCCGCGGGAACAGAAGCTGGGGGGGCGGGAGAAAGCAAGGGGGACGCGTCTCCATCAGGCAGATGGGACGCAGAGGAGACCAAGCCAAGTTCTCCTTCCTCCCTCTGCTCTCCCTCCTCTCCCCTGGGCACCCCCTCCACCGCCCCTCCCTCCAGCAGCGGCCGAAAGGTCAGGCGCCTCAGAAACCTTTAATTCCGTTTTAATGAGCTCAGAGGAGTCCCTGGGGGCCCAGGGCCAGCTCATTTATCTGTCTGCACCCCAAATCTGCTCCTTATGGAGGTGATGGTGATGCGGGAGTGTTAGCCCTTCTGTCCCTAGGATGGGAAAGAGGCTCTGAATGGGCCCCTCCATGGGGGAGAAGGGCCTGCAGAACCCTCCCAGCAACTCCCCCCTGTGCATTCAAGGTGGGGCAGAGGGGTGGGGGTGAGAGAAGCCCCAGACCCCCTTTTCTACACCAGCCCAGCCTGCTGCTCTCAGTGCGCACACACACACACACACACCACACTCACACACACACAATATACACACAACAGACACACCACACACACACACCACACACTCACACACACACAATATACACACAACAGACACACACCACACACACACACCACACACTCACACACACACAATATACACACACCACACACACCACACACACACACAAACCACACACACACAATATACATACACACCACACACACACCACACACTCACACACACACAATATATACACAACACATACACCACACACTCACACACACACAACATACACACAACAGACACACCACACACACACACACACCACACACACACACCACACTCACACACACACAATATCACACAACACACACCACACACACACACATACACACCACACATACACAATATACACACACACCACACACACACACACCACACACACCACTCACACCACACAATATACACACACACCACACACTCACACACACATTCACACACACCACACACACACACAATATACACACACACCACACACTCACACACACATTCACACACACCACACACACCACACACACCACACACACACCACACACACAACCACACACACACACACCACACACACACACGCACACACCTCCACCCACCGCTCCCTCCCCTGTTCTCCTCTCCCCCATCCCACCCTACAAGGAGTCTTACCAAGATGACGGCTGCCACAGCCCCAGCCTCCTTGTCCACCAGCGGAATGACCAGCACTGAGGGGGAGAGGGCAATGAGGTGGTCCTGCGGGGCCAGTGAGGCTCAGGGTACTGAGCCAGGACCCAGGGAGGGAGACAAAGACACAGAGAGAGAGAGCCTGGGACAGAGACACAGAGAGACCCAGGGACCCAGAGAGACAGAGGGGCGTCCTGAGGCGGTGACAGCGAAGGCCCTTGCATGGAAGGAAACCCCCTCACTTGACAACCTTCTTGTGATCCTCCCAGCAGCCCTGAGGGGGGGAGGCAGGTGAGGCTGAGCACCCCTAGTTTACAGACGGGGAAGCTGAAGTCCAGAAAGGGGAAGTGACTTGCCCAAGATCACACAGCAAGTCAGGTCTCCTGACTCCCAGTCCTGTGCACTTTCCACATCGAGACAGAGGACAGAGACCTAGAGAGACTGAGACACGAGGCAGAGAGACACGGCGGGACAGGGGGCATGGAGAGGAAGAGAAAGAAAAACAGAGATGGTGACAGAGAGAGCATGACAACAGCCACAGCCCACATAGCAACAGGCGCGAACACATCATCCCTGCGGCCACCGGCCCCTGAGCCCTCGTAGGTGGCAGCCCCTTAACATGCGTTATCTTATCTGCTCTTCCTTGCAACACCCCCTCAAAGTAGGTTTTGCTGTCCCCATTTTACAGATCATGAATGTGAGGCTCAGAGAGGTTAGTAGCATAATAGAGAGAGAATTAGATTTGGGGAGGGGGGGGGGGTTGCTACAGACACAGAGCACAGAAGGGAAGGAGACCAAGAGATGAAAACAGGAGACAGACATGAACTGGGGGGCCGGGGCCACCATTTCCCCTCGCCTCTGCCCAGCTCCCCGCCCTTACCTTGGGTGTCCGGAGCCAAGGGGGCCACCAGCTTGGCCAAAGGCTTCCCAGGCAGGTCCGAGATGCCGTCCAGCCCATTGCAGCCCAGCCGCTTCTGCGAGCTCACAGCCTCTCTGCAAAACAGGATGACCCCACCTCAGCCCCCGGATCCAAGAGAACAATCCCTGGCCCAGGGGCACACAGCAGGCTGGCCCCTGCGCGTCTGCGAAGACCTGGACATGTTGACCTGCTGCAGGGCAGATGCGAGCGGAGCAAAAATAAACGAGTCGGGGACCCTCGTCAGCTACATACAGTCCAGCCTCCGGTGCTTCTTGCTGGTAGAAACTATAATAGAAAGGTGTGCCAGGGGCCAGCGAAAACCCCCAGAGCAAGGAAAGCCAGGGCTTGGAGCTAGGCTGCCTGGGTTAAATCTCACCGTGTCTGCTACTTGATCTTGGGCAAGTGACCTGACCTCTCTGAGCCTCCTGGATAATCATTATAACGAAAACTCCTCAGACATCCCCTTTACGCCGTGCACAGTCCAAGCAAATGACACGGACGAGCTCAGAATTCCCAAACATCCTCCGGATTAAATAGTATCGTCATCTCCACTTGCCGGTGGAGGAACTAAGGTACCCAGAGGTTAAGGAGCTTGTCCAAGGTGGCATGGCTCCTAAGTGGTAGAGCCAGGACCTGAACCCAGCCCTAACTGGCACCAGAACCCAAACTCCTCACCAGTAATGCTTGAACCTTCCTAAGGACCGATGGGGGTGTGGGCTGCAAGGGGAGTTGGGGGAGGGAGAGTGGGCCCAGCGTACCCAGGGGCTGGAGATAGATGGGAAAGAATGAGGCTCAGGATACTGAGCAAGTCCCTTCCCCTTTCTGGACTCTGCCCTCACCGCACATGCCCTCTTCCCCCCCTACTCCCCACCCCAGCCTCTGGCTCTTCCTACTTAATTAAGTGCCTGATTTTTCACCAAATGTTACTCCCTGATGATTAATTGTCCTGGGTTCCTCATCTCTCATGCTGCCTCCACTTAATTGCGTTTGTAGGAACGGCTTGGCCTAGCTAGAAGAGCCGCTGGGGTAAGGGGGGGGGGGGAGCCTGGAACTCCTGTGTGTGGGGAGGTTACTAAGGGGAGACCAGCAAAAGCCAGATCAAAGAAGGGGATCCGGGAGCCCGAGAGGCTGCCCAACAGCCAGAGAAACTGAAGTCCGAAGAGGCTGAGCATGTCTGGCGGGTCACGTAGCTTTCCGAGCCAGACTTGCTCACTCCCGGCCCTGGGTCAGCGCCAGTAAGCCCCAGTGATGTCTCCCACCTCCCAGCCCTCACTCCCTGCACCTTTAAGGCTCCCGGTGTGCTGGGGGCCAGTTCTGGGCTGTGACTGTGCTCATCCTTCCAGGAGGGAAGAGAGATCTAGGGTGGCAGGAGGGCAACGGCAGCCACGCTTTCTGATGACTACATTGATAACGGATGGGACTTCATGGAGACAGGGGACTGGCCTTGGTGACCCTTAGCCAAACCCCCTTGTGGACCCCTCCCAGCCACTCAGCCCGGGACTGTCTGGTCAAGGGGCGCTGGTCCCCGCGTGGCTGGTTAGTGACTCTGCAGCTTCATTCCACTGATCCCGGACTCTCCTCTTCAATCTCCTCCACCCCAGCCCAGGACCCAGGGCTGCCTTGGCCTCCCTCTTCCTCCCTGCTCCCCCAAAGGATGAAGTAATCTATCTTCAGTTTTTCTTCTGCACAAAACTCCTTCCTCTGCGCTTATGGCCTCGTGGCTCTCCAGCTCCCCTCTCATGAGCTCCAGGCATCCACGGGCCTCCTGGAAGCTTTCCTGTGTGCCCCCGAGACCGCCAGACACCCAGTCCCAATCTGAACTTACCCTTGCCACCTCTACCCCCAAAGTGGCACAGCCATCCCCTGGGCCCCTTGCCTCCCTCTTCCTCACCTCCCCCAGCCAATGGGTGAGTCACCTCCCATACATCTCTCCCAATGGTCATCTCTCCCAACGGTCCCTGCTTCCCATTCCCAAGCTGCTCCCCAGCTCACTCAGAGCCACCTCTCCCCTGACCCCACAGCGACCTCCCGCCTAGTCTCCTGCCTCCTGTCAGGTCCCTTAAGTCCACCCCCAGATTAGAGCCAGAGCAAGTTTTCTCAACGAAATACTTATGGGAAAGTTCTACTTGAAGTCTTTTTCTCTCTCTCTCTTTTTTTTTTTAAATATATTTTATTGGTTTTGTACAGAGAGGAAGAGAGAGGGATAGAGAGTTAGAAATATCGATGAGAGAGAATCATCGATCAGCAGCCTCTTGCACACCCCCTACTGGGGATGTGCCCGCAACTAAGGTACATGCCCTTGACTGGAATCGAACCCGGGACCCTTCAGTCCGCAGGCCAACACTCTATCCACTGAGCCAAACCAGTTTCGGCCACTTGAAGTCTTTCATTCCACGGAGTGTTTGCTCCGGGCCCTTCTGGGTCAAGCTTGGTACTGAGGACTGAGATGAGAAGAGGAGACAGATACATGCCTGGCTCTTAGAGTCCCCATGTTGTGCAGGGACTGACATGCAGGCCCAGGTCCGCAGGCAGATGTGAGGGCTCTGACAAAGGGAGGAAGAGCGGGCCCAGCCTGCCCAAGGGCCGGACGGAAATGGGGTCAAGAAGGCTTCCTGGAGGAGAGGTTGCCCGAGCTGAGTCCTAAAGGGCGTGCAGAGGTTAACCAGGCCGACAGGAAAAGATGAGCAGGTAGAGGGAACTGCATGTGCAAAGGCTTGGAGGAGAGGAAGAATGAGTGCCTGTTAGACGGCCCAACTACAAGGAGTTGGTTTGGCTGGACAGCAGGGGGTGGGACCAGGGCCCTGAGAACAGTGGGAGACCCCGAGGGTAAGGTAAAGGTCAGGTTTGATGGTTGGCTGCTGGGAAAACCTCACTAACAGGGAGAATCGGGGAGACCAGAAACCCAGTCTGAGTGAGCGCCCCATAGTCTCAGTGTCCCCGGGACAGCAGAGGGGAGGCTGGGCTGGGGCAGGTCAGCCTTGTCTGGGCCCAGATCGCCCTCTGAGTGCTGGGGCATCAGGATCCTCAGTCCTCAGGAGTCCCACATGTGGCACCTTCCTCTGAAACCTGCCCTCCCGGACCCAGCCTCATCCCACGGCCCCAGACAGGCCAGGCTCACCTCAGCCCACCCCCCTTCGAGCCCGTTCCCTCTGCTGCACCTTGCCCGGAACTGCCGTCGCCTCCCCAGATGGAGGTGGGGGCTTCCTAAACCGCTCACACCCCAGATGGTTCTCTCCTCCACGGAGAGCCCCCACCTGCCTGCCTCCTGACTCCCCCACCTCCCTGCTCCCCGCTCCCTCTCCAGGCTGAGGGGGTGCGGGGACTCCACGCCCCGGGCCAGCTGTCCACGTCGAAGGCTAATGAATGACTCAGCCCTGGGCGCCGGGTGGCCACGCTCTGCCCCACTGAAGATAAAGACAGATGGGCGCAGAGTGGGGAGAGGAACGGGCGTGGACTTTATGACAGTTCCGTCCCTTTAACAACTATTTGTTTAGGGGAAAGAGGAGACGGAAAGGCTTTCTGCCGGTGGGGGTCAATGGTCTGGAGAGCGCTGGGTGTCCAGGCCGCCTTCCACTCTCCTGAGACCTTGCCTTGGTGTGACCCCCAAAAGCCTTGTGCTGACGTCCCTCCTCCCACCCTCAACCACACTCTGACCTTTCCTCTCTCTCAGAGACAAGTTGGGGTTCAAGCCAGGACCCGGGCCCTCCTCTCCCTCTCCCTCTCCCAGAGTGTGAGACTCCAGAGATGGGAACAGGCCCTTCCCTGCGTCCCTCGAGACGAATGAAAGGGACAGACGGACTCTGTGGTGAGAGGGAGCCAGCTCTGAGGAAGAACTTTCTCAAGGCTGGGCCTGGGACCCCTCCGGGGTGGGGAGGTAGGCGAGCAGCTGGGGCTCGGGTGGGCGGTGTCTCTGCGGTAGCTGAAAGGCCCCAGATTTCGCTGCACTCAGCAGCGGGTAATCAGAGGCTTTACGATGGCAGGAAACACAATGAGGAGAGGAAAGTGGCGGGGCTGGAGCCTGAAATAGTCTGGGAGACAGAAGCCGGGCACCCAGCAGAGGGGGGTGAAGCATTCCAGGAAGCCCTTCACCACGGCAGGCCTCCGGGATTCTCTCCCCTCCAGCCCCAGGCCCCTGGCAGCTTGTGGAATCCAGAGCTGGGCCAATGTTCGGTCCTATCGTGCCAGAGAAGTCCAGCCCGAGGCCCAGGGAGGGTGCATGAGATGGTAACTGCAGCCATGTTGTCCGGGATCTCAGATCTCCCCACTCCCAGCCCATGGTTCTGCTTGTGGACAGACCCACGGCAGCCCAGACCCCTTTTCTGAAAACTGGACCTTCCTTAGTGCCAGGGAACATGGAGCAGAGGCCTCCGGCTGGGGCCTGGAAGAGAAGCGAAATGCGGGCCGGTCCAGAGGGAGACGGCAGTGGACTTTGCAGAGCAGTCAGAGCACAGCATTGGGGGGCGGAGGTGAAGGGGGTGGGGAACCCAAAACACACCGGGAGAGTGAACCAGGAGCCTGCAAGCCCCAGGAGTGGTAGGGGTGCTGGGTCAGAAACAGTAATCACGTTGTTAACCGTGATTTCTGTTCTGATTTGAGAGAGCACATTCTAACCTGGCTGAGGGCGTACAGCCTGGGACATGGGGTTAAACTGGGAGTGAGAATGAGGTCCGTTCTCCTTCTCTGAGAACTGCCTATTACCATGGCAAGGCTCACATTGCCTGTGACCTGTAACCATCACACCCATTCTTATTCCCACCGCCTGTTGCCCATGCCTGTAGTTCCTTTGCCCACTTCCCCATGGAATCTTTGTCCTTCTGCCCAATATAAGCAGCTGGCTTATGGGAATGGGGGGTGGGTAAATAATATTTTCATGGATGACCTCCTGCTCTCCCATCCTGCTGATATTTTAGAATAAACGCTCAAATAGGATTCAACCCTGTCTCTGCTGGATTGGCTCAAGCAGGGACAGGCAGCCGGGACCCACGGGTTGTCCAGTTTCAGGGGCATTGGCAGGAGGGGCTGGTGACCCTCTCACTGCCCCGTGGTCCATCTCACCCCGCCTCCACGCTGCCCTCGGCCTTATCTCTTTATGGCCCGCCTCCACGTCACACCTGCTGCTGTTTGCCAGCCCTCCATGGTTTCCCGGAGGAGCGCCCTCTGCACTGGGCACTGCCAGGGCCTCAGGCTCCACCTCGGCCAGGGCAGGTGCCTCAGTCTCCTGGGGCCAGTGCCACAGACCACCCTTGGAAGCACCCTGTAACCAACACCACCCATTTTCTAGAAAAAGACTGAGGCCAGAAGGGAAATGATTTTCCCAAGATCACCCACTGGGTGCATGTATGGGGATGGGAGGCTGGAGGGTCACCAGCTCCTATTAGGTCTGGGCATTATGGCAGCTCAGGCCTGTCTGACCCCATCCCCGTGCTCCTCCCTCCTCCACACACCTGTGTGTCAGCCCTGGTGGAGGACGCAGGCTCACCACCAGAGGTGGGATTAGAGTGCAGATGTCACCCCAGCCCTTGCCAGCCTGAATGAACTTTTATCTCCAAGTCCTAAGAGATGCCCCTCCCCCATCACCTGCACCAACCTTACCTCCTGGGGCCCCTGGGATTTCTGAGCCCTGTCTCCCCACAGGCACTGGCCTCTCCCTCTCCACTGAACTTCAGGCTAATTGAAACATTCACTCTTAATTGTCTTTTTCCTTTCTTACTTCTTTCTTTCCTTCCTTCCTCCCTCCCCTCTCCCTTTCCCAAAGGCTTTACTGCGTCTGAAGTGGTTGGGGGTTGCGGATGAGAGGGTCTGAGCTGCTCTGAGGTGCCAGGACGGCAGACACATCCTCAGCAGCAGAGTCCGGGGGGTGTTTGCCATCTCAGGAGGGGCAGAGTGAAGCCTGCAGGATGCTCCTTCCACCTGCTGTGCCCCTCTCCCAGGAAGGCCCTCTTTGCTGCTTTGAAGAAACTTCCTGGGTAGCGCAAGCTCATATTAAGCAGAATTAGGGGTGAGGGTGCTGGCTCAGAGGAGAAAAGAGGACATTAGAGCACTTTTTCTCCTTGAGATTCCGGAGATCTTCGGGCCCCTCTCCTGCCACCGTACAGACGGGACAGTAGCGGGGGGGGGGGGGGGGGGGGAGAAGGGCACGGCTGGCCAGGTTCTCCCAGGCCTTGGGAGGAGTTGGCAGGAAATGCTGAAGGGGAGAATGCCACCCACCCTGGAGGAGCACCCCCTGCACTGGGCACTGCCAGGGCCTCACGCCCGCCCGAAAACGGAATGGGAGAACAGGAGGTGGGCAGGCCCTGGGCATTGAGAGACACCAGCCCCTTCCATGGGGAAGAGCTGAGGGAGAGACCAGCATCCTGGAATCCTGGGCTCCACGTGCCAGCACCACCAGCAAGCCCAGCCTGGGGACCTCCAGCACCCCAAAGGGCAATCCCTCCCCGCCCCCCCCGCCCCCCGGGCACCTGTGAAAGTGACTATCCTGCCAGCCTCAGCTGCTCCCTGAAAAAGCCACAGCTCTGGACCCCGGCCTGCTGGACAAGTTCTCAGCCAGGGAGTGAAGCGCTGTCTCCCAGTAACATTCCTGCCCCCCGTCCCCCACCCCCACCACCCTGCCCGTGTGCTCACGCAGCCCCCAGACCCCGTCCGGCGCTCCCTGGCCCTCGATGGCCCTGCGGAGCTTGGAGGTCAGTGAGCACGCCCGCCACGCCCTGCCCTCCTCTGCACCCGCTCTCCTGCCTGTCAACACTTTCTCATCTGACAAGTCCCACTTCCCCTCATTGTTCCCCGAATGGCGGGGAGCCAAGAGACCACGTCCCAGGCCTGGCTCTGCCTCCCCCCCTCACGGTGTTTGCCCTGGAGAATAGGGAGGCTGAATCCAATAGGCTCGGAGGTGTCAGGGGACCACCGGGCACCGAGCCCACGTTCCTAAAGTCGGCGGTTCCAACATTCTGCCGTAATGAAAACAAAACCAGACCCATGCCATTCATACAGCGCTAAGTGCCTTACATGTGTTAGCCTCATCAGGTCCTCCCAGCCACCGTATGAGGTAAGCACTATTGTTGCCACCGTTTCACAAACAAGGAAGCCCGAGGCACAGAGAGGCTGAGTGTTCCTGAGGCTGATAAACGGGGAGCTGGGATTCAAATCCAGGCAGCTGGGCTCCAGGACCCACTGCAGGACAGCGCCTGTGCGCTCTGCTCTCGGATGCCTGTGTGCTCCTGCGAGTCCAGCCCGCGGTGACTGTGCACGCCGGGCCTCTGTGGCCCTGTGACCCTGTGACCCGGCCGCTTTCCCAGCCTGGCCGCCCTGACATCCTGGGACTCGGCTCTGAGGAGGCTGCAGCAATTGACAAGAGCTTCCTGGCGAGAACACCTACCAGCTGGCACCTTCCCCGTGTCATCCGTTCCTCCAACCGACACAAAAGGAGACATTGCTTCTCCCCTCTGTGCTGGAGTCCCTGACCCAGCCCAGCAGCCGCACCTGGCTGGGAAGCTGAGGTCAAGGTCAGATAGAAAGGGTCAGATCAGACGACGTTGAAAGGTGCCCAGGCCTGAGATCCGTGACCAGGGGGGAAAGCAATAGGATGGAGGGTGGCTCACCGGACTTTTCCCTCCTGGGGCAGCTCATGGGGAGGGTCCTCACACACCAGCCGGGACTCCCTGTCCAGAAGATAGGTGTAGACTGTTTCCTAGAACAGAAGACACTCATGAGACCGAGGAGAGGCCCTCCCAGCTGCCCCCTGCCAGCCTGCACACCGTTCCGGGCACCAGGCTCACAGACCCTCTGGAGGGGCTCAAGCATCTGATTGGCTCATTCCCCCTGTAATTCTCACACGTGGTCAGGGTGGGAAAACTCCCCTATGAGCTTACCATTCACTGTCTCCTCTTGGGAGGGGTTCTGAACTGGCAGTGCTCTATGACCCTGCTGGCTTTTCTTACCTATCACCCTAAATCCAAGGTATGGGGATGGGGGGGGGGGGAGGAGAGGAGTCTGAAGGACTGAAGGTGCAAACAACCTTCCCCCACCCCCCCATACACACACCTGGCATGTTTCCTTGCTGTGACTCCAGCCTCCACAAACAATAACTCTGTGTCCACTCAGGGCCTTACTGCAGGAGGGGCTCAGAATGCCCCGGAAGCTTCCTTCTTATCTCAGAGACATACACAGCTCTCCAAGGAGCCACGCTCTGTGATCCAAGCTAGAAGGGCTTCCTGGAGGAAGTGACCTTAAAGCTGTAACTGGTATGGAAATTAGACTCATTCAGGGAGCGGGCGAAGCACAGAAGAATGGCTTCTGGGCTGCGTGGCAGGGGTGTACGTGCGAGAGTACGGAGCATTTATGGAACAGACAGGGAGGGCAGGGGCACAGGAGGTGGGCTTGGGGTCAGCAGGGGCTGAGCTGGAAGGGCCGGATGCCAGAGGCTGCTGCCAGGTGGAGGGCGGTGGAGTGAACCCTGAGAGTTAGGAGCAGATTTGTATTTTGGAATGACCACTTCCCAGAGTGAGATCAAAGTTCTGCTCAAACACTGTCCAGTCCAAGGGCCCAGAGCTGTCTAAGCCTCAGAATCAGGTCTCGGAAACATCAGTTGCCTTCACAGGCCCACATGCAAAAACCCACTCTCCCCCCAGATGGGCCTGGCTGCTCTTAGGGATCTACAACTAACTCCGCTTCAGCACAGCCTCACAGAGCATCTCCACTCCCACACTGTGCGTGGCAAGGGAGCCCAGCGAGCTGCCAGTGCTGCCCGGCAGAGCCCCTGCCCACGTGACGGGGCATGCATGTGCTCAGCTAAGTATCCGAGGGGCACTGTTTTCTCAGTGGCAGAATGGGGAGCTGTCTTCTCTCTGTTGGTATCAGGGAGGGCTTCTGGAGGAGGTGACATTAGAGCTGGGTGTTGAAGGCCCACCTCCAGTACATGTGAAGTTCTTAGCAAAAGCAGTTCCCTTTCGGGACTATGAGCCCATAATCCTGCCAGCCACTCGTGATGCCTTGTCTGTCCCCAGCCAGCCCTGACCCTCTCCCAACCCCCAGGAGATGGCCTGGTCCTCCTTCCAGAGAACCCAGGCCAGACACAGCATGGTGTGGGCTGGCGGTGAGAGGGCCTGAGGGAGTGGGAGGGGCAGGCATAGGCAAGGCCTGGAGCCCCCTGGCATCCTGGGTGAGGCTCCAGGCGGGGAGTTCAGGGATGAAGAAATCAGTGAGAATGAGGCCATCCACTCCTCATCTATGCCAGCCTCCTCTGTCATCTGGCTCTGTTAGCAGCCTAGGAGGGGGATTTGTCCCTAAGAGACCCCACAGCACCCAGGATCACACACAGAGTCTTCCCTGGCAGAGAGGGGGATGGATGGTCCGGGATGGGAGGGAGAGAGGGCAGCTCTCACTTCATTTCCGGATGTCCCTCTGCCTCCCACACTCTCACTCTCAGCCTCTGGGTTAAAATTAGCTGAGTTTATTGAAGAGAAGAAGGGAACAGTTCCAGGCACATCAGCACCATCTGCATTCGGGGCTGCCTGCCACAATGGGTGCTGATGAGGGAGCCAGGTGCTAGCGGCTGTTCTTACTGGGAAGGGGGAGAGGGGAGGGGGAACATGCCCCCACCCCGGTCTGGAGGCCGAGTAGACCTTCCATCTCCCCCACCCACTCTTTGAAGCCCAGTCCTTCCATGCAATCCAGCCAAAGCCAGGGCTTCCCTCGCTCAAACAGGTCCCTTGGACGAACCAAAGTAGACATTACCTACTGTTCCAGGAACCTAGTCACTGGATCACAGCTGTCTTTCTTTTTCTTTCTTTTTTTTTTTTTCTAAAAGATATTTTATTGATTTTTCACAGAGAGAAAGAGAGAGGGATAGAGAGTTAGAAACATAGATGAGAGAGAACATCCATCAGCTGCCTCCTGCACAGCCTCTACTGGGGATGTGCCTGCTACCAAGGTACACGCCCTTGACCGGAATCGAACCTGGGACCTTTCAGTCCGCAGGCCGACGCTCTATCCACTGAGCCAAACCGGTTTTGGCACACAGCTGACTTTCCAGCACCCAGTGCCGGGCACCTCTGTGGGCATAACGAGGCACCCTGCCCGTGAAGGTCTGGCCAGTGACCTCTTCCTCCCTGTCCCTGGACGGCCTCGATGGCCGCAGAAGGGCCGGGCGGCCTTGTGGATGCTGACTTGCCAGCTTCCCCACCCACTCTTTTCCAGATGTGTCTCCACCCCAAGCCAGATGTTGCCTCAGTCCCACCCTTCTCAGAGAGGATTTATTTTTGAGTGCCAACACACCACCCACTTCCTGCCAATTTCACGCTCAATAAAGCTCACGGTTTAGCCCTCCTCCTGGGCTCTGAGCTTCTAGGAGGTTCTGAGAAGGCAGAGCTAGGAGAGAGAGTGAGGGTGCTTATGTGCCAAGCCCCATGTGTCCCTGTCATGCTGTGTGACCTTGGGGGAGGCACTTGCCCTCTCTGGGCCTTAGATGGTTTGTCCATCAAGCAGGTTCAGACACAACTGGCCCTGGGCGGGGGTCACTTTCTGAATTACCCACACAGGCTGCCCTTGGGGTCACCTTCTGAATTACCCACACAGGCTTCCCCGTAGCCTGGAACGAAGACTCTACAGTAGAGTCTTCGTTCCAGGCTAGGGGACTCCATTTCGGCATCTCCTCCTCCGGGAAGTCTTCCGTGCCCGTTAGGCTGGGTCAGACCTCCCCCTCCAGACTGATAGTCCTCTGCTTCCTGCCCTCTCTCTGGCACAGCTGAGACTCTGCTGCTTTGGGTCCTGCGGGCCCGTTTATCTATCCTTCTGCCTAAAGGAGGAACGGTGACCATTGGAGCCGGACTGGGGAGTGGCCTGGGGCAGCTGAAGACACTCTGGGCGGGTGAGACCGTGGTGACCAGTGACCACGGGCCCTGGCAGCCTTCGTCCTCTCTTGAGGCCACTTTAACCAGGCACAGATCCATGCACCGGGCTGAGCCCATTGCAGCGCCTCCCAGACCCAGCAGCAAGGAAGCTCTGCATGTCTGCCCTCCCCTCCTCTGCCGTGCACATCCCGAAGCCCACCTGGTGCCGCCATGCCCTAGCTGTTACCCCAGGTGAATGCCTGCCATTATCTGAGATATGACCTTTTCCGTTAAGCTCAAAGGCACCTTCTGTCTCCAACGTCCCCGTGTAAGTTCATTCTTTAGTGTTTAGCTTCAGCCCTCCTCCTCCAGGAAGCCCTCTCCACACACTGAACCAAACCCATCACTTCCCCATGAGAGTCCCCTGGTTCTCCTAATTCCTCACCTGAGGATATTTTTCCATGGGTTTTTAAGAGAGTGAAAGGGAGGAGAGAGAAGAACATCGAAGTGAGAGAGACACACCGATTGGTTGCCTCCCGCACGCACTCCAACCGGGGCTGGGAATTAAGCCTGAACCAAGGCATGTGCCCCTGACTGGAACGGAACCAGGACCCGTCAGTCCTTGGGCTGACACTCTATCCACGGAGCCAAACCGGCTAGGGTCTTGTCCTTCTTTCTTGACCCCATGTGAGGTGCAGCAAGATGCTGAGGAAAGGTTTGTGGGGAGGGGAGATGTGAAGCCAGGTACCTACCACTCTGGGGAGCACGGCTGAGAGGGCCTCCGTGACAGCCCTGCGCAGGCCCACGACGTCGATGACGGAGCCCAGGCTCAGCAAAGCATCCTGGAAGAGAAGAAAGGGCAGTGAGGGCCTTTGTCGGGTCAGAGCAGCCCCACTGAGCCCAACTCCCAGCTGCAACCACAGCCAAAGGCTCTCAGAACCCCAGCATCTTAGCACCTCAGAACCCAACAAGTCTTAAGGCCCTTGAATGCCCAAGCCCACTCATCTTCCAGGCAGGAAAACTGAGTGCTCAGAGAAGGATGTGGACCTAGCGAAGAACTCACTGTGAGTCAAGAGGTAAATTTAGACGAAATCTCAGGTCTCTTGTCCTTTAGCAAGGACAACTCTGGCATAGTAGGGAAAGCACAAGCCTCCACATTAAAACAAAGCAAAACAAGCAAGCAAACAAACCACCCAAATTGAATCCTAGATCCATTATTTACTAGAAGTGCATGCTTTGGTCAACCCACTGAGCCTCAGTCTTCTATCTATACATTGGGGGCAACTAAGGCTATCTCCCCCTTGATATGAAGATATTGGTAATACTTCCTCTCAAGGGGGAGCCCTAAAAGGTGCCTTCCAGATTACCTACATGGAGTAGGTGCTCAGCTAGATATCTGCAGAATCCAGGTCCTACTCACTTTCCCCAAAAGGAAGGTGGTCTCACGTTTCAACCGAGCGAGGGGCGAGGTTAGGAGCACCAAGACCCCAAGGAATGCGTGAGCCCACCAGGTGGAAGCGACACCGTGGGGCTAGCCCCTCGAAAGACAGAAGGCAACGTCAGCCTTGACTGCCTCGCGGCGTTCCGGTCCCAGGAACAGGCATTGTCCTTGGAGAGCCGGAACAGAAACAAGCAAGGTCCCCGCTTCTCCCTCTGTTCGCTTGGCTGGGGCCTGGGCGATCAAAGAGAAAGGTAGCAGAACCGGGATCCAGGGCCAAGGCAGGATTATGACTCACACTGTTCCCTCAGCCGTGCCCTCCGCCAGCCCTTGGAAATGTTCTCTGATGTCTTCCCTTTGGATGGCTGGGTCTGTGTTCGAAAAGGTAAAGTGACTGTCTAAAGGAGAGGCCTGGCCTGGCCCCCGTGCATCTGAAAATGATATGAGATCGAGGGTCTTTGTGGACCACAGTCTCAGCATGAGTGTGGCTGGTAATAAGTTAAAATGCTGAGCCTGCAGGCCACATGGATAAAGATTGGTCCACCTGAACAGAAAAGATGGCAGTTACCCTGCTCCTGTCGTCCAATAGACCACCCCAGTGCACTGTCTCAGGTAAAAAAAAAAACACGAGATGAGACTCGGAGTAAGGAGGGAACCTGAAACCAAGGCCTTCAGATGACGAAGACTAAAGAGCCTGGGGTTACCTGGCCTAAGGGCAGAGCAGACTCAGGGGTCTCGGTCTTCAATTCCAATCTCTCAGGCTCTCCTATGTGGCCCCAGGGAGGCCTGGAGGTCCATAAGATTTCGCAGGAGGCTGCCCTCGGTCCAATGGGATGAAGGACCTTCTTCCGGGCAAAGCCATACTACACAGGCAGAGGCCACCAGGCGAGAGGAGGGAGTGAGCTCCCCATCCCCAAAGCTATGCAACCATGGGCTAAATGCCCGTTTTTTTCCGGAGAGGCTGCACAGAGCAGTCCCGCACTGGGGTCCAGACTCCAGCTCCAGATGTCACCCTTGTGTCTTCTTGGCTTCAGTTTCCTCCCTCCCCTGCCCCCTCCCAGTCCCGCGTTCCCAGAAGGAGGAGCGATGGGCTCTCTTCCCGCATGCTCACGTGGCATCGCTCTCCCCAGCCCCCAGCCTCCCTTTGATCCCTCCTCCCGCTCAAGGATGAAGGCACATTGTGATCGCAGAGATATGTCTCTGCCCTTGGACAACAGAAGCCGCTGCTTCCCAATAACACAGCTCCCAGATGGAATCGATCGTCCTCAGGCGCTCCTCGTCACAAGGCACACGCCCTCAGCACACGCACACCTGGCGGCACAGCCACAGGCCTTCACACCCAGCGCGCATTCAGACTCCCTCCTGGCGCACACTCACGGGCTTACAGGGATGCAGCTATTTCCTCACAGATCCACAGGGTCAGGGCTCAAAACACCGGCTCGCATCATATGCCTGTAGCTATCGTGGCCTTTTGGGGTCACTTCTGCGGACTGAAGAGGGGAGAGCTGATGCCTCCTATCATCCTAACAGCATCTGCAAACACAGGTTCCTCAGCGTGGTTCCCAACGGAGAGTCCTAGAAGATGGTGCTGGCTTAGGTCTGCTCCCGGCTGGAGCCAGGGGGGTGAGCACGGAGGAGTCCTGCCCTGCAGTTTGATGTGTGTGCTGTGGGAGTTGAAGAGGGGCCAAGGTAATGGGATAGAGGCACTGATGTAGGGGAATTTTTTCCCCCAAAGCCACAGGCTTGGGACAGCTAAGTGTCCCCATTTGACAGATGAGGAAACTGAGGCTCCAAGAGGAGCAATGCCCCTTCTGTGGCTGGCCAGCCAGCCGGTTAAGGCAGAGCCAAGTCCAGAATCCAAGTCTCTAGCTCTCCAGGCTCTGCTCTGCACCTGCTCCCCAGTTCCCTCCTCAGGGGGCTTACAGAGAATAGTCTGCCCTTTGTTCTCATTGGTGGGCTCTGGGGCCTGTCCTTTATTTGGATTGGGGGATGCCCTGACCTGACCTTTACTGGAGTTAATGGGTGCTTCTCTGGCCTTTGTTCTGATTGGTCAGTTTGCTGTGACTCTTCAGGCGAAGGGCAGGATAATGGCAAGGATGGGAGATGGGATAGGGAACTTCGGGAGAGTTGGGGCAGCAGACTGAGCTGGATGCAGACAGGCCGATGGTCTGGGGCTCACTGCATGGCATCCTTCTGTCCATCCACTTCCTGGCCTGCCCTGCCCTGCCCACCCCAGGACTGGAGGGTGTTGGGTGCAGGAACGTGGCTGGGAAGGGCCACTCGACCTTGCCCTCAGAGTTCTTCAAGGCTTGCTTCTCCTTGAACTTTCCACAGATCTCAAAGCAGCAGCACCTCCACTGCACCAACTCAAAGGGGAAATTACTCAAATTCCATGAGGTGGGGCTTGGGAGCAGGGCGCTGCCCCAGTGACGGGAGGAGAGTCAGTGGGGCATGGAGGTGGGGGGACTCCCCAATGGCAGGCACAGGGGGGAACTGACAAGGCTCAAGTCAAGGGCCAGAAGCCCGGTGATCTTAAAGAGGAAAGAAAAGCTCAAATAGAGCCATACCTGCTCTCATGCACATCTGTACATGTCAAACAGATACACACCACTGCCCACATATATGCACACACCTCACGCAAACATGCACACATGAATAGAAATGCAACCATATATACAATGTACACACAAATAGGCACTGAGGCATGGACACGCATGCACTCTCGCATGCACGCACGCACGCACACAGCCCAGGCTCCGGTGGGGTAAAGGAGGTCCCATCTCCTGCCTTTGAAGCTTTTTTGAACAAACGTCAGTATAAATGTCAGCACAACCAGGCAATTTCCAAGACCGCAGGGGAGAATTTGTGGTGTGTCGAAAAAACCCCAGCGATTTCCAGTCCTGCCCCGCTGGCCTACAGAGGCTCTGGGTGGCAGAACAGCAAGGTCTTCGGAGCCTCGGTTTCCTCGTTCGTAAAAATGAGTCCTTCAAGCTCTGCAACATACAGTTCTGTGGTTTTTGTTTTAATTCAATGCAGATGGATGGACGGACAGATGGAGGGCAGAGGGGTGGGTGGAGACTCCCTGCTCTCCCCAGCTCCCTACCTGTAGCTCTGTAGGTGGAGGTGGGGCCACTCGGCACCATAGACAGTGCTCCTCCCACTCACGTCTTTCACCCCAAGAACGAAGACAGGGAGCCTGTTCTGCTCCAGAGCTGTCAGTTTCTCTGGAGCCAGCGTTGGGGCTGGATCAGCATTTCTGCACTTGCCTGGGCGTGGAGACGGTCTGGACTAAATTACTTCTAACTCCCTAATGTCTAGAATTATATGAAGCTTTCTACCTTCTGTTGGCATAAGGGACTGATGCCCTTCTGGAGGGTCAGCATCACCGGCACAGCCTGCCCTGCTTGCTGTCTTGTCTCTGTGAGTGTCTATGTCTTTTCCACCTCCATAAACTATTTACTGCTCTCCCTGCAACCTAAAGCTACCCCCCCCCCACACACACACACCTCTGGAAGGAAGCTCATAGTGCCCCTCATGGTGGCCTAGAAGAAATAAAACATCAAAATCACATCCAACCCAGTAGCTAAATTCCTCCCAAGACTCAAGCTGTGTTCGTGGGACGGGCTACACAGACTGGTTCTTCCGACTCTGCTCATGCGAGGTCCCCTGTGTGCCTGGGGGAGGGCTCTCCACTCGGGGCTTTAATGTCCTCTTCTCTAAGGAGGGGGGCTGCTTCGAGACCCACCAGGACCTTGAGTCCTTATCCCTTCCTTTCTTTCTTTCTTTCTTTCTTTCTTTCTTTCTTTCTTTCTTTCTTTCTTTCTTTCCTTCCTTCTTTTTTTTTTTTTTTAAATAGATTTTATTGTGTGTTTTTTTTTTTTACAGAGAGGAAGGGAGAGGGATAGAGAACTAGAAACATCGATGAGAGAGAAACATCGACCAACTGCCTCCTGCACACCCCCCACTGGGGATGTGCCCGCGACCAATGTAAATGCCCTTGACCGGAATCGAACCTGGGACCTTTCAGTCCGCAGACCGACACTCTCTATCCACTGAGCCAAACCGGTTTCAGCCCTTCTCCCTTTCTAATCTTCTTTCCTTCCTTCTGGGGCTGTGTCTCTCTCCCATCTCTCCGAGGGAATCTCTCCCTCCCTCCCTCAGGCCATGTCCATCTCCTTCCCAGGCTGCTCTCCCATCTCATCTCCAAGAGTCTCGATGTCTCTTCCCACCTCCAGATCCTGTCTCCTCTCATGGCTTCTCCTGCCATCTCCCTCCTGCCCACGCCTGTCCCTCCCCACTCCTGTCTGTCCCGCCCACTCCTTCCCCAAACCTCCACGTGGCCACCTTGAGGACTTGGGGAGAAACTACCTGACCCAGGATGAGCATCCACAGAATGGGGGACCC